TGTATATAATATGTGTAATCGATTTAAAATTATAATGCGGCTTTGCTTGACTGATTTGATGGAGAATATCCCACTGATAGTAGCGTAAATTTACCTAAAACATCGCGATGATCCACATAGTAATTATAATAATTTTTGTATTATAATTATAATAATAATATTGGTGTGTTTTATATTTTATGCGAGGAAATAAACATGGGCTAGATCGAGATCTCATGCTGTTCAAGCATTTATATATAATCTTATAATCTTAAAATTCCAGTTCATAATGATATTATTTGCCTGAAGTGAACTTTGTACGTTGTCCCCAAACTTATATCATATATCAGTTGATCTTACAGCTTTAACTTAGTATGAATGGTTTAACTCAAGCCCATTCCGTGAGGACAATTACTTACAGATACTATAAAGGTTTAACTGAATTTTCAATCTAGACTTACCGCAACTGGCCTTTTGGGAAACTGCAAGATCTTTACCCGCAAACTCATCTCGACAACGTCTCGCTTAACCGCATAAAGGCGACAAGTTGTGAACACGCTGATGTTGGGATCCATGCTAGAGCACTTGACATTTGTGAACTTGGCCAATCCATCGATCTGAGAAGGATGCCAATTAATGAATAATACTTAGGATGGTTTCTTTCTCTCCCCCTCTCTCTCTCTCGCTCTCGCTCGCACTTGCCTCCACTGCAGTCCAGAGCAATATCAGCTGAAACGCGATCCAAACCTGCGCCATTTGCGAAATATTTTCTGTACTATTTTATAAAATACCCTGACATATCGAATATATCCGTCCGCTCTGCTTGAATGCAAAACAACAACGAACCCAATCGTAACAATTATATAGATATTTTTGTTTTTTGTCTTTTTTTTGTTTTAGGTAAATGACCAACGTAATTGGCCATCCGCTGGTAAAAAAATTGCGGCTATCAGATGGAACATTTTTGGATACATTAAATATCGGTAAATAGCTTTTAATGAAAAGACAAATTCTAGACCAAGCGAGCTATTTCGCTAGCCTGTTTATAACAGTTAACTTAGAGCTAAGTGTATGTAGGTATATATATATGTGTGTGTGTGTGTGGAAATGTTCGTAACTAATCACTGGCCTCATCCTCATCATCATCATCATCATTCGATTCATTGGTCTCTTCATCGGTGGCTTCCGCTTCGCTTTCGCTCTCTTTGGCCTTCTTCTTCGTTGTGGCCTCACTTGATTTGCTCTTCTTTTTGGCCGGTTCGCTGCCAGCCTTTTTGCCATCATCTGAACTGGTGGAATCATCGTCCGATATGTACTCCTTGCTCTTGAAGCCACTGCCAGAGGTATTCGACTTTTTCGATGGTGTGACCTCAGAGCTGCGTTTCTTTGGTGCTTTGCTGCTGGATGTTTCTTCGTCGTCGCTAGCACCATCACCACCTGGCTTGTAGTTGCGCATCTCATCCTGATAGCGTTGCTTGTCCTTGCTGGCGAGCTCTTCCCACTTGGATCTGTCCTTCAGCTCCTTCCACATCTCACCGCCCTTCTTGGCGATTTCTGTCACCTTTATGCCCGGATTGTCGCGCTTGATCTGCTCACGCGTTTCGCTTAGCCACAGCATAAACGCTGTCGTGGGACGCTTCGGTTTGTTGCTGTCCTTCTTCTTGCTGGTCTTCTTCTATTTGGGGGGGGGATTAGAAGAATTAGAATCATTGCTTGTAATAATATTGCATTTGAATCGACTTACTGTTCGCTCCTTTTCTTTGTGCTTCTTCTCCTTTTTCTCTTTCTTTTCACGTTTCTTCTCTTTGTGCTTCTTTTTGGAGGCTCCTTCGCTGTCGCCGCCGCCACCGCCGCTGGCATCGCTGTCTTCCTCCGAGTCGCTCTGCACATTGCTGTCGTACTCCTCGGCCACATCCGATTCGTTTTCGTTGGGCTTGAAGTCCTCGTCCGTGGACTCCTCATCGGAATCGTCGCCATCATCGTCATCCTCCTCCTTCTCGCGTGCCTCGGCCTTGAGTCGTGCCAGATATGCATCCGGTTCGTTTTCATTGTCCGAATCGCCAAAGTCAACATCCTTGTAGCCGCTCTTGTCCTTGCCCATGTTGCTCACATGCAGCTTCTTCTGTGTGATGAAGTCAAACAGCTTGGCATACTCCTCCTTCTCGATGGAGGAGAAGATGTGCACAGTGCCATTCTTGAGAGTGACCTCAAAGTCAAAGGAGCGCGTCGAGCCGCCGCTACGGGCGAAATTCACTGAGCTAATCTCCTCGAAACGTATGTGCAGCGGCGGCTTGTGTATGTAGATGAAGCCGCGCTCCAACGGATACAGATAGCCGGCAGCTGCCTTGAACGAACAGCCGATGGCAGCGGTGCCGGAATGTCCAATGAAATTGCCTGGGCCTGTTATCTTGCGCCCGATCAGAACCTTCATCACCTTGCCCATGACCTCGTAGACCGGCCCGGACAGTTCCTTCTCCAGCTTGCCCTCATACTTGTCGCGCAACTCCGCCTCGCTGAAGGGCAGCTCAATGGTGGTCTCCTCGTCGGGAGCGAACAGCAGCACAAGATAATGGTAGCGCGTCTGGCCCTGTTTGATTGGCGGATCCAGCGAGAGGACAAAGAACATTTGGCGACTATCCTTGTGCGGCAACATGAACAGGCGCAGCACCGAGTCCATGGGTATTTTGTAGTCGAATGTCTTGCCGTGCAGCTGGAAGAAGGTCGAGAAGATTTTGATGTCGTACCGACCACGCGGTGTCAGAATATGTATTTCGCGGAATATGGCAATGGATTCGCCAGAGGCCGATATCACCGACGCCTTGTTCATGACATTTTGATGGAACTTTTCGACTGGATCCTCGTCCGCTGACTCTACAGCCGGTATGTGGAAACGCATTTCGAGCAGACCAACAGGGGCATCGTCGTTCTGATGAAATTCCAGTGTGACCTCATTCTTGCCGGTGACGCATTGCGACACATACGACAAGGGCACTTCAAAAATGGTTTTCGTATCCTTATCGAAGCTCAGCACGGAGCCCATGAAGCGAGCTGTGCCCCAGTTCCAGCCCTTGACACACATCTCCTTCTCCACCATTTCCTGCGAATAGGCTTCCTTGATGTACTTGCCCAGTTTCTCATGCTCGCTATCCCGAAAACCAGTGAAACGATGCAACGCACCGCTCTTTGTAAAGATACGCAGGCCCCAGGTGCCGACGAATTTTTGCGAATTGATCAGATCTATATCATCCGCGGCAATCTGCTCCACTTTGCCCGTTTTGTTGTTCTTGAAGATAATGTTTTGTTCGGTGAGCTTCAGGCGTCCAGAAGACTACATAAATAAATAATAACATTAGTGAAGTGTGAGAAAAACAAATGCCAGACAAACTTTGCCGACAATTCGCAAAACAAACATACCAAAACGCCGCGCACTTCGGCATTTATGTCGTTGTACTCCAATGTTTCAACCATTTTCCAATGTGTCCTGCACTAAATACTATGTTAAGCAAACAATAAATCAAGACAATTCGCGAAACTTCACAGAATACGCAATAAATTGCGCACGAGCGAAATGCCAAAAGCCGACTGCGCGCCCAATTTTAGGTTAGATGCTAGAGGTGGCCTT